TTTTTCCTCATCCGGGAATAAGTTGTTGTCAATTTATTCCCACAGCCAACACTGCAGTGCATGTACGGTTTTGTTCTATCTATAATAAAGTTGTTATTTATAGTAAAAGGAAGAAAGAGACAGAGGGAGGCAGAGAGATGCTGACAGATCCTGAAAGAAAATATGATTACAAATCCCCACAGTCCCCTCAGTCTCCTCTGCTGACCCGTTTATCAGACAGTGATTACTTAACTCACAATCCAACTCCAGTCCAGTCTTATTTATAATGACAAGTGGGGATGTGTAAGACTGAGGAGCCAAACATTTTAAGCAAGTTTTGCTTAATTTTTGAATAAATGCATGAGGACTTTATGAAATTACCTCACAGTGAATTTGAAGGCGCAGTCCGTGTGAATGAGGAGAGACAGTTACTGCAGCTTTCCTTTCTCTTGGCTCATGTTGGATGGACCCATCACAGTGGGAAGCACCACACTGGTTCTGTGACATATTTAACAGCCTCTGCTCGAGCTTTCGCTGACTCTCAGACATCTGTAAAACAAAACAAAAAATGATATAGAATAAGTGAAGAGAGGACAAGGTGATAAAAGACACAGTCAACATTATCTTCACCCTGTGTTCATGCTATTTTCCTTATTACTGTGAGCTCAAGTACAGCCACTGCCCTCTGCTTCAGGATAGCAAGTCGGGCTCAGCACCTTTAAACGCTTTAACAGTAAGTGAAGAGAGATGGAGAACATCAGCTGTTTCCTTCTTTATGTATTTACATCCAGAGCTGAGGAAGGAACAGCTGATTCTGTCAACGCCAGATGGCAAACACACACTAAAAAAGTGAACGTAGGCTGTAGGTTGCATATTACAACGTTACACTGCACAATTACACATTCATTTACACACTAACTCTGTATATATTTAGATTAATTCACATTACCTCAAAACTGTTGCAGGGAAATGTTAGGAAGAAGTTATCTCTTGTGTCTTATTAGTGTGACACACCGCCGCCTCGTGGTCGAAGCGCAGTCACCAGATCGACTGTGCGGTGTTGGACTGATCATGCCTGGCTCGACTCATCCGCCGAGCAATCACAACAACCCTCAGACATGGCAACGCTGTCGTCGCCTTTACGAGTCTGTCGAGGGATACTGAGAGAGCTACGTGCCATCCAGGGACCGAGTTACAAAAAGTCTCTGGCCTACAACTATGTTCTGGACCAATTTCGTAAAAATAAGGCGAGTTTCTCACCAACTGTGTTTCGGCTAATGTTAGCTAACTCAGCTAGCTGCCATCACAAACTGCACGGCTAACGTTAGCTAATCCGATATCTCTTGAATCATAACGTTGGCAATTTTGCTTGTAATGTGAAAATTATTTTTGCGTTCCAGCCTTTCACAAAACGTAGGATTAGAGCGGGTACCCAGCCTGACACCGGAGTGTTGTTTTTGACAACTGTGTAATACTTAAAAGTAAGAGTTCAACGCAAGGTGACTGTTCGGCAGAAGGACACGTTAACATTAGCCAGAAGCTAATGAGCCTCAGCACAGGTCAGTGTTAAGGCGCAGGTGTTTAACTGCCCTCTCAGTCTAATGGTTAATTAACTCTATAGGTGTGCGCCCACACCGGAGTGTGTTTAAATCATCGTCGATAGGCGTTAATATGCAAATTTAATAAATTCACGGCATCATTTACTCTGATCATCTATCCGCAATATGTTTCATCTAACATAAAAAAGTTTAGAAAGTTTCAATGAATGAAACAAGTTGTCAAGGAATTCATATCCATCCGCCGGAGTAAATAGATACTTAAATAGCTAACGGAACAAACTCTAGACATTCATTAGAAGTCCTGCATGATGAGGTTCATCTTCACAGCAACAAAAGCACTGCAGAACATTTATTATTATTATTATTATTATTATTATTATTATTATTATTATTTTCAATTAGCTTATCAATTTGGCACATAAATCCCTCAACAGCCCTAAATTCAGCTATATATGTATTATAGCTACATGTTTATAATGAGTATGACTAATCTTCCTTGAAACTTGCACCGTTAATAAGCATCATGGCCACTTAAGTGCTTGTGATTCCTTATGTTTTTCTGTTTACCCAATACACAGCTGCCTGTTGAAATAAAGGGTTGGGGGTTTTAAACATGTAGGCTTAAAGCTTGTATTACTTATGCTTGGGAGAACACGGCGTACCAGGGCAGTTGAATGCATGTGTAGTCAGTGAAGCAAAACAGCTAAGAGGAACTCTTGCTTGTCAGTTGTCAGTGTGTATTTGTCCCAGCTTTGACCCAAAGGCATTATTGAGTATATGTGAAGCTCTGTCGAGACTGGACCGAATGCTTTATGTCCGTGTAGCTTTTACAGTAGATGAAGAGAAAACTATGGCACATCTGTTTATGTTGTACTCTGTCACTGGAGCTCCATGTTTCCCACCAGCTAGACCTTAAGGATTTTATTTTCAAATGTTCATTTGTTTCATATTTTCTTTGTGGTGACTGATTTAATAAACAAAGCAAGAAAAGAAAGTGACTAATACTGTGTAAACGAACTGACTATTTGGCAGCCAACATCGGTGTTATAATATTTTCTGTCTTTTCCCCGCTCACAGGTAACAGGAGAAAGGTACTGCCGTGCCCAGCAGGAGGCACACCATGACTCACACACATACCTGTGTTTGTTGGCATCTACCAGGAACCACCTGGCCCTGCACAACCTTTACCATGGCAAGGGAGAGCGCAGCCCAGAAGAAGTGGCAGGCCTAGTGGGGCTCAGGTTGCCCACTCAGCCAGGAGGTAAAGGCTGGGAGAAGTGAGGACGAGGGAGGGTACAACATCTTGAACCTCTCCAGAAATGACTTTTCTGTGGCTGATTCATCATACAATTCACCTCATGCAAAGAAAACTGCAAAGGGATAAAGATTTGATGGGAGTCTGGCAGACTGGAGCCTGTGCCACCACGGACTGCTTTGAGGGAGCACCTGTTGTGTTGTTCTACCAATGTTCAAGGGGGGGAGGGTATGATTATAATCTCATCGGAGTGTATTTGATGCAACTGTGAAAGTATTATAATTAAAAATCTGTTGTCGAGCTGTAAATGTACTCTACCCTTCAGCTTATCCACACCTGCTCTTATTTCTGTTTCCTAACTGTTGAAGCATCTTTTGAAAACCAAAAGAAATCATTAAAAAAAAAACTGAGTACAATTTTATTTTGGATTCATTTGTCCATAAAGTATGAATCACTGTTAGTTTGTTTTGTTTTTTTAAGAACTTGATTTCACATATCACATTAACAAACATCCTGCTTGTGTATTGATTAAACAGATAATTAAATTAATCTATTACTACATTTACATGCCTTTAAGGGGCCAGGTAAAAGTAAATATGACATCACACCATCCATCAGGGGGATAGAACCACTGAGAATATTTAGTTATTTTTGAATGTGAAATTCAAGTCACACTTGATTCTTTACAGCTTTTCCTCTTACACTTGTCGTCCACTGAGGCATTAACGTCTGGCTACAACATGTCATTAAGTTAAATAGCAGTGGCCATTAGGTCATTATTAGCTACTAACAGTGACTGGTGAAGCGATGTTTCAAGGCAACGTACGGCAGTTTACAGAAGAGACTGTGTTGTTGCCTTGTGCATCACTGGCAGATGCTGCAACATTATGTAATGGGACAATAGGAGAAGTCTCAAAAAATCCCAATAGAACAGTAGCAAAGAGGAAGAGTGGTAATAAGGAAAGCATCATCGTGAACACTGCAGAGACTTTAACAACAGTACAAGCTGCAGCCTCTAGCTGCAACACACTGACCATGTACAGATGAGTATGTTGCAGTGAGCTCAGATGGATTCCTGTGTCTCTCCTCTCTCTTCCTCGTTCTCTCCATCCACAGCTCCCTCACACAGTTACCTCAGTTTTTCTGGCCCACTGTTATCATCCCACTTTTTTCATTAAATCTACCCTTCCCGTTTCCTCTTACTCTCCAGTGGTGACTAACATTGCCTTCAGTGTGAATTTAAATAGACTAACCCTTAAGCAACGCAGCACACAGTGACACGGAGTAATACGTGCACCCATGCACTGCCCCAAACTAACACACACACACACACACACACACACACACACACACACACACACACACACACACAGACCTGGAAAGAAAGCCGAATGCATACTGACAAACCAAGGGCTTCGTGTCAAAAATTATATTACGCAAAAAAGCAGGATGTAAATGTGCTTCTCCACACCCCACTGTTTTCTGTGTGCACAAACAGACAGCCATGACAAACACGATGAGAGAGAACCCCTAACAAAAGCTGAGTGTCACTGAAGGTTACTCTACTTTTCTGCAGGGAGACCTGGAGGAGGTGACGCCCCATAGAGACCCAGACTTAAGTTATGCAAGTAGATGCATTTTTAATGTCAGCGCAACCTGAACGCATCTGGAAAGAGGTGTGTGTGTGTGTGTGTCGGAGGGGGGGGGTAATTAGGTAATATGCTGTTGAAAAATATGCTGTCATCTTGATGCCCCACTTTTGGTGAACATAAACGTTTATGAGTGAAAGGTGGTGAGACATGAGAGCATCAAGCTGGTAAAAGGAAAAACTAAGAGTGGAGGAGGAGTAGGAGAGGAAGAGAAGAAGGAGGAGGAGAGGAGGAGGAGGGCGGAGACACTCCAACCGTCAGAGTGGAGGATGATGTGCTCATTCCTTGGTTCGGCAAAGGGGGTGAGGAGTCAGCATCTGTAACTTCTGTCCCTGAAAAGAGAGAGAGAGAGAGAGAGAGAGAGAGAAAAAGCATCAGTTGCGTTCAAAGCGCGCACTTTTCTCTGGAGGAGAATCTGGATACTGCTGTTGCAAGTTACTTCTGTTGTTTACTAACCAAGCTTTCTCCAAGAGTTGGACAGCCACATCAGGTAGCGGCTGATCGAGAGAGCAAGTTGACTGCAAAACAAAAAAAAAAGCACAAGGACGAAAGGGAGGACAAACAAAAGCAAAGCAAAGGAGCGGAGAGAGGAGAGGTGACCTGGCCGAAGCGACATGTTTGGCATGATCAAGAATTCGCTCTTCGGAAACACCGAGGAGACGGAATATAAACTGCTCAGCAGCGAGACGAAGGTAAGCTGCGTGCGCAGACACCTGCCACTCACGACTTGATCACTCTCATATATTTAAAGCTCCTGCAGTTTTCGTCCTACGCGCCTCTCTCCGTGACTTTTGGCGCGTGTGCATCTGTCATTGCGCACAGTAATCCTGCTGTGCTGTAAAGGTGCCCGGTTTCCCGCCTCTGTTTGCATGAATATTTGATTCGGCACTTAACTCTATGTGGGTTATGTTATGGCAATTTTGTTTAAAATTGCCGTGAACTTCGCGGTGTTTTCCCGCTGCTGTTGTCACGGCCTCTGTAACCTTGACTGACAGCCTGCCGGTTAATTACTTGTGACCTATAAAGATGCCTGCTGAGCCGCAGTGTGGGGCAAAGGGGCAAAGCAGCCAGAGGTGCTCTGCCAATCAACAAGGCACGAATGAAGAAAGATGGTGATGACTTGTGTGCAACCTTAAAACAATAACACACACACACACACACTAGGATAAAGTCAGAAAGGTTTTTTAAGGTTTCATACATTGTTGCGTGCAAAGTGACCCACTGCTTTTTCCATTATGACATTGTGGATGCGTGTCTGTGCGTGCGTGCGTGCGTGCGTGTGAAACCACAGGGGACAGGCTAAGTGACCCTGCTGCGTGGTTGTGGTTAACCCATGGGCTCAGATATGGACTGGGAGTGTATACTGATACACTGACCATCGATGATGAGTACAACCATATGGAAAACTGACGTCACAGAGGAGGAAGGGCATGTCCTTTCCATGTCAGATACCCCTCCCCTTTGCCATGTTCATGCGCATGTTGTGTTTGCTTATGTTTGATGTATGCACATATTGGTAGGATTCCAGTGAGCTCAGTGATGTGTGTCGTGAACTGAAGTAATGCCTGACAGCCATTTCGAGGTTCTTCTCTCGTGCCCTCTTGACCTACAGTACACTACTGTAAATGTGCATCAAGCCATGTAATGTCACGGCCGGCATGCGTGGCTTTGTGTGTTTATGTTTGAACAAGCAGCTAACTTTTCACAGGGAGACAAAGGATTTCCAGCCCAACTGACCAGACAGGCAGCGAATCAAATGACCCATACCGACAAACAGCCACAGAAAGGCAGATCTGTTCTGACACTGCACACTAACAACCCCCGTCTGAAATTCAAAAATAGGCCATTGAATCCAACAGTCTGTGTACAAACAACTGATCTGTGATGGTTTTTAGAGATTCATACTCACATTTAAACTGGAAAATAATGCACTTTACTGCAGAGCTGCCTCACAAAACGTTGACTTTTAATTGTCTTTTGCTCCAAATTGGAGGATCGTGATAGATCATTTATAAATACAGCAAGGTTACAACAGTAGCAAACGCTTTCTCTACGTGTTGATTAACCAGTGTTGAACAGTCAGAGCTGAAGGTTCATCAAATCTCTGGATTTGACTGATGTTTAAACAGCAGGTATCGAAATCAGAGCTCGTCACCTGATCTGTGGAGCACCTGCCTGACTCTGACACCCTACACCCTTAATTAAAACCGACACAGAATACAGAAGAGCTGCCTTTCAGGGCATACACACGTCCCTCTGCACGCACACACGCACACTCACAGCAACACAGGCGAAATCTAGTCAGAAGTTCGCTAATGAATCTAGAAGATTATTATAGCAGAAAATGAAATGACAAGCCACTTTAACAGCCACAGTGTTGATTATACCTTTCTCTTGCTTTGCTCCAGCACAGAGTAATTATCGCTGTATAAGATGGCACAAGACAGCAGCTAAACACATGTATGCACACAACCAGCACACACATGACAGACAAATTAATTGCATTGCTTAACTGAACTTCAGGCACTGCTTTCTTGGCATGTCACCCATACACAATGTTAATGGTGGTCCCACTGACAAGACACACGGAGCAAAACCCTGCTAATTACTATGCAGGAGCCCGGGTACCTGTCACAAGTTAGAGCCTTCATGATAACATAGTGTTAGCTTGTACGTGTTGAGGACTGACTTATGGCTGCAGTGTCTGATTACAGGAGCACTTCACAGGTCCTGAGGGATGGAGGGGGGGGGAATAAGATGAGGTGGAGGGAAGGTTGTTAGGAAACACAAATACAGCAGTTGGAAGATATTTAGAAATCCCAATGACTGGAGAAAAAGACCCAGGAGTCACAAATTCATTTACAAGATGAAGACGAAATCATTTGCATGATATTCTTAGATTTGAGTTTTTCCCTCGGGGAAGAGAAAATATACTCAAGAGGCCCATGTGAGAATGAGAATATGCAGTGGAAATTAGTTTTTTTTTTTTAAATTATTATTATTTTTTGCTGCCATGTTTAGAAAATGTTTATGTTTGAGAAAAACACATCATCTGCAAAATATCCATCCATCTGCAAAATAACAAACGGTATATTTTAGAGCTTATAGATTGATGGTAAACATTATATAAAGAGTGAACGACAATGACAGTATGAAGCTAAATGACAATGCGCAAATCCATCCCATAAACACACACAGAGATGAGTACACGACAAAATACCACACAGTGTATTTGAAGCCTGCCGCACAGTCTCCACGGTAACCAGATTCTTTCAAAACCTATTAAAGTTATTGCTCAGCAGCATAGTTGAATGACTGTGCTCCACATTAACCCCACTTAATCATATTTAATGCAAAACTGTTGCATCATATTAACACTGTGTGTCTAGGGGGGTGGGGGGGCGAGTTATGCGTGGTGTGTGCGTGCGTGTGTGTGTGTGTTTGTCTGTGCGCTGTTATGTAAGACCATGCATCTCTTGCCTATTATTCTCTGTCAGCTGACTGAACCCTGCAGAGCAGAAGAAGAAATTAAATCAAATCAGTGTGAATATGTTTCATCTGCATCCTATTATTTGGCTGCCCACGTAGGTTGCGCACACACACGCACACACGCACACTGAACCCTCCGAGTGTAAACCCCCGCTAGTTCAGGGCTTTCGTCCTTAGGAGCAGATAGTCAACATCAGTGTGTCAGAGGTGAATCATATGTGATCTGAACCTCTCCCCTGCATCCGTCCCCAGGAAGAGAGCCACTGTGTTTATGCGTGCGGGTGTACGTGTACAAGAGCAGTTTCTGCATTTGTGCATTTCACAAATATGTGTAGCTGAGGTTGGCCTACTGATGCCTGAAAGCCACCCCCACCCTGATATCCTCATGTCCTCTATCCCTACAGGATGGAGTGAGCTTTGAGGTGCGGCGATACGACGCCGCCAAATTCGCTGTTGTCTCCTCTGAGGGACGAAGTTTTGACCAAGTGACCGGGGAGCTGGTGAGGAAGCTGCTCATGTACATCGGAGGGAGCAATGAACAAGGTGAAATCATCAGAGAACGAGACGTCCTGGTGGATCGGTGCGCTAAGATATGCTCATTGACATTATAGGATCTGATGTTGCTCATTAACTGCCTCTGTAATCTGTCCTGTTCCTACGGCGAAGTCGTGCCGCATCATTTTTCTTTTTTTTTCTCTTTTTTTTTTAAATCACACGAATAAGAAAAATATGAACCAAGAGTGTTTTTAAAAAGACATGAAATGGATTATTTATTTAATCTAAGAGACGCACTACATTATTAAAACAAGGTTTTCCACTGATCTTGGATTCATCTTTTTTACATATTTAATAACGGCTCTATATCGAGTCAGTGCCTCATCCTGCGGGAAAAAAAGGTTTTATTAATTTATTTAATCTAACTAATAATTTTCTTTACTTCTCACATGTTTTTGTATGAAGCTCTGTGGGTATTTGCTTTTGTATCTAAGCTGGCTGACCTAAAGGGGACTTGGCTTTATTGGAGGATACATTTGAATAATGCTCAGACACTAATGTGCTCTGAGTTCATGCCGCCCCGCCCCCGCCCCGCCCCCCCCCCCACTTCAGGTCAACAGACAAACATAACCTCAGCCGACTACTAAAAGTGCAAACCAGGCCTCAGTGCAGAGTGCAGAATTATCATTTAATTTGTTTACTATTTATAGATGTGCATTTACATGACCTGTTTTTGCAGGGTGAGAGTAAAAGCTTCAGTATCAGTGTTGACATTTGCGTAATGATATTATGTACTCAACACAGAATCACACAAATCCTGACCTTTAGGTTTTTTTTTTTCTTGCTTTCTCATCTTCATCTTCTCAGGTGAGGCCATGGGAACAGCAGCTCCCATCATCATCACAGTCTACCCCCGGAATGACGGTGTTCTGTCTCGCCGGTTGGTGGTCGGCATCCGTATCCCCTCCATCTACCAGCAAAGCCCCCCGACTCCCACCGACAGTGCCATCAGGATTGAGGAGCGGCCCGGCATGACTGTCTATGCTCTGTATGTGTCATGGAAAGTGTATCATTTAAAGACAACGTACAAACAAGAACAACAGTTTAAAGACATCTCCCTTGCTGCATAAATGCTGACTGTACTTTGAATCCAATTGCAGGTGTATCTTTTTAGGGGTCCCTGTTTCTTTCCAGTGAGACAGCGCATCCATTAAAAAGTCCACATAATTCACCCCATTAAACAAACGCACTAATTATAAACCTGATTTAGATCTTCCCTGTGTCTGTTTTGTGTTCGCAGGCAGTTTGGAGGCTTCGCAGGGGAGAGTGAGTACCGAGCAGAGGCCTTGCGTTTGACGCGCACCCTGGGTGAGACGGCGCCCTTCCAGCGCAAGCAGTACTTCTGCTGTAGCTACGACCCACCACTCAAGCCTTACGGACGCCGCAATGAGGTGTGGTTTCTACAGGACGAGCCGTAGGAGCCGTAGGGTCGCAGTCAAATCTCATGCTGAAGTCTTTATCCAACCTTAATGACCCTCTCACACCTGACAGTCCTGTAGCTCTCACAGTGTTTGAATGGTAAGAACGATACGGTGACCTGATAGGCCTTTGAACACAGACAGAGATTACCCATGTTGCCTTTACCCATCTAATCTTCTGCTTGTCACACATAAAGTATAGATGCCACACTGATGTTAAGTGCTCAAGCAACGGGGCAATGTAGAATTCAACATCAGTGCAGTAGCATTCTCTCATTTCACTACTACTTCTTCTGTATTTTTGTTTCTAATTTAAAGTCACCCTTGTAGCTCAGACGCAGAACGTAGTGTTGTAAGCCAAGGGAAACAGGTCTTAAAGAAAGTACTTGGTACGCTACTGAGACTGTTGTCCAGGTGTGAAACGGAGAGTAACTCAGTGAATAATCTGTAGTTAAATACAACTGAATACAACTGATTTTTTTTTTTGCATTCCTCTGAGAATTACATGTTTGTCCTTAAGGGTAGATAAGGTCCCTGTAGAGCTCCCATCTCCCTGAAGAACACACAGTAGGGCTTTGCACATCTTTAATCTAGTTTACAATATAGTGATGGCTACAGAGATATGTATAGAATTTAACATTAGAAACATGGTAGTAAGAAGCACACATCCTTTTCCTGAGTCAGGAACTGGAGCGCAACAGGAGTTGAGCCATAAAGTAGAACTAGTCTTTAAGAGTTAACGGGTGGACAGCCGTGAGTGGAAAACTAGCTAGCTAGCTATTGGTGTTGTTGTAAACTTTGTGATTATATGTTGATCCATGAAGCGTTTGTGTGTAGTGAATATTTTTGTGTTTTAGTGCATGACAATGCCATCTTTATTTATTCAGACTCTTGAAACGGTGTTACGCGATACATCTGTACAGTGTGATTTTCTGTGATAAGAGTGACTATAATGTTCAGGTTCGATCGTGTTTCATAACATAATAAACATGTTTAGTTTGAGTGGATAATTCCATCTGTCTTATTTCTTTATTTTGTCAGGGAAGGTATGTCACAAAGAGATGTCACAGTGAAGTTGACCTTTGACATCTGTGTTAAATTGTGTCATAATTAGCACATGAATTCGTGAGTTATGGCCAAAAACGTGTTTTGTGAGGTCACAGTGGCCTTGACCTTTGTCTAATCAAATTTGAACACATTCCCTTTTTCTCGTTCATGAGAATGGATGGACGGACAGACGAACCGTAAAAACCTTAAATCTCTATTGATCAATTTGATTCTTTTACTTTGAAAAGTGATTGCCAATAAACTTGATACTTAATTTGAGTAACTGAGTAATAAATAGTAATAAATGATAGATTTAACATTAAAACATTAGCCTAATCAAAATCAATGTCTTAATGAATGAATGCAACTAAATAGCAATTAGATATTTAAAACCCAATTATGTGATTTACAATTTCAATTTTGTTCAAATTTAATAGTTTGAAACTTCTGAAGGTCCGATAAATGCCAAAAAAAATCAAAATGTGAAATTTCATAAATGACACATTTATTAGATTTTAATTGACAGACAAAATTCAGCAAAAAGGAATAAGAACTGCAAAAGAGATATTAATATACAGACATTTGATCAACTCAAGCAAACTAAAACCAAAACCCAAGAAAATGCTCCCCACGACTACTGTGTGCGAATAGTCCTTCAAACGGGTGTTAACTGATGCACATTGAGGGGGATGCAATTACACGGCCTGTTGGTGCCTCGACCTAGTTTAATTAGGAATAAATGGTTTGCATTAAGAAGTTTCAACAGCAGGCCAAACACTGATAGGCCCCTAATATATCAGCGTGGCCCTGTAACCCCACACTCGTGTAATTACTCAAACAGGAGAGTTCTGGTTTCAGCCCGGCTTTGCATACATGAATACAATAGAAGCCAAGAGTAGAGCTAAGGGTCAGTCAGCTAACCCCAGCTTGTCGTGTATAACCTTATTATGTGAGGTTAAAATATTGCACATACATAGACTTGTAATGTAAGAAATCTATCTGATCCCCCTTCTCAAACATTACGCTGCAACTTTTGATATTCAAAACCTCCGTTATATATTAAGCTATTAAGGGGAGTGTGAGATATTGGTCATATAATAATAACTGGAATTACTGACTGTAATTTAACTTATGTAGTGCAGGATCACATTGGTCATATATGAAGGAAGCTTTAACAATGAGAATCAGTCAGATATTAAACTACTCAACACTTCAGCCCAGTTGTGGTTTTGTATATGGACAAATACTCAATGCAAAACTGTTTAGGAAACACACATGGTACTTGCAATGATATTGCAAAAATACTTTACTGCTTAAAGTAGGAGTTGCTATTGTTAATAACTACAGGAACTGCAATCAAGAAATTGCTACAAAATAGTTTGGTAATAAATCTGTCTTAAAAAATACATTCCCCATACTGCCTCCTTCTCTCAGCTCTGTATAAGGACAGTTTAAGTGCCCTCGCCCACTACTAGACAGAAATAAAATGAATCCCATCACTGAGAATGTTAATAATGATGAAGCTCTGAAAAGCCAGAGTAACAAGTTGTCAATCATTTTACATGAACTTAACTATAAAGGAATAAACAGTATTTAAAAGATGTGATTGCTTTGTAAGCTATTCCAGTATCCAAAATATCATTAGTTCCTTGGTGAATTATCACTGACATCTTTGAGCCCTCTATTACTTGCATTTTCTTTTCTTAATTCTACGATCGAGTGGGTATCCATCAACATTACTCCTTACTTTAGAATATATGTAAGATACAGAGGGAGGGAGAGGAGTGTCATTGAACTGATGAAGCCTGAGCCTCAGTTGGTTTTCTTGTTAGGAGAGTCTGGATAAGGTGCATATGGTGGAGGCCGCTCCTGTGTGGGAATAAAGGAGAAAAAAAATATTGTATAAGTGCCATCACAGGAGCTCTCTTGTCACTGCCACACAACTGTAACTGAAGGAGAAGACGAGCAAAGCAGCTTACCATGGGCATGTAGACATTGTGTGGATTGCTGGGATTGTAATATGCGCTGCCTGCTGCTTCAGCTGCCTTGGAGTTACCTGTGCATAAAATGTGATGTGACAAAGACAGGGAGATAGAGACAGACAGTGATGACTGCTGAGCATATTTAGGCACAGACGCCACAGCTCCTGACACTGGAAGGAGAACTGATGCGAGGAGCACAGTATTAATCATGTGAAGCACAACAACTGACAGCGCCAGAAAATCCACGAGACAAAATGTAGTGGCACACCCTGAGGATGCACGCAGGCAAACGTCCTACTCAAGCTCTTCCTTAAAATAGAGATATACCAAACTGACATTTCAGCAGTGTACCAAGCTCACCCCATGTTCAGAGTGAGACCGTTTTCACTGAAATCCACAAGGTGCCAGAAAAGAGTACAGGGAGGGAGAGGAAGGGGGGAGATTGTTTATCCTTTGTAATTTTGATGTGTAGCAAATGAGACATCAGCACCCCTTTTTCGGTGTTGTGCTTTGAAGTGATTCACTTTGAGTCAGACAGATCAGATCTGACGGGTGCAGTGACACAGACATACAGAGTGGAAAAATAGAGAGAGAGAGAGAGAGAGAGAAACAGACCTGGAGGTGGTGGTGGTCCTGTCCAGTTCTGGGGGGGTGCAGTCCAATTTTGGGGTGGCCCAGGGTAAGGGGGAGGTGGGGCCATGTAGTCAAAACCAGATGGGTACATTCCTGGAACACAGAAGACAGGCAGAGTTTACAGGTCAATGGAGGTTACAGTCTGTCGGCACTTAGTTACACAGCAAAGACCAAAAAATAAATAAAATAAACACATACAAGATAAAAACAACTAAATGATGACAGGAGGAGGGAGAACCTGGAGCATTATTTGCACCTCAAGCATTTTTACTTATATGCAATGAGGATATTTGGCATAACTGCATATACAAAAACAAATATGACCCGCTGCACACACATACACATACACAGGGACACACATAACTTAAAGGCTTAAAATTATGAAAGCCTGGACATGTTAGAGTTTATACTTTCTGCATTTTTATTGATAGCATGAAAGTGAATTTACAGATAAAGCCAGTAAATTGAACTTGAATTAAGATTATTTTAGCAAACTGTATTTAATAACCTAAGAGCACTACGCTTCAAACTGGTATACAAATGTAATTTCACAAACTAGTGAATTGTGTACCTGCAGCGGCTGTTGGATAATTGTAGCCCATGTTGCCAGCAGCAGGGGGTTGCCCCTGGTAGAATCCATTCTGCTGGGGAGGAGGTGGGTAGGGATAGCCATGAGCAGCAGGTGGAGCGGGGCCGTAGCCATTCATCATTCCAGGTGAGGGATAGCCGTAAGAGGCAGCACCATTCTGGGCAGGAGCAGCACGGGAAGCTGGAACACAACAGTAGAAAATTATCTCAAATAAACTGAACTTTCCAAATATTATGGGTGTGTTCATCCACTCAAGACTTTTTCCTCAACTGCCTATCTTATATATAGTCTTTTAAAAAGGTGGCTTTTAGGGCAGACCTTCTGTAGATTCTGTAGCATTGTCACTTCAGTGAAGGATTGAAATACTTTTCCACCCTCCAATAGGGTCCAAAGGAGCATTCAATTCAGTATCCAGTGATTAAGTAAACAAGCATTCAAACCATTTGTGGCCAGTTTGAAAAGATGCTGTCCCACATCTATGGCCCCTCCACTGGGGAATGACATCTTGAAATGGGCCTGGCCCTCCCAGCCACCTGATGAGAGAGTCGACTACATTTAAAACAAATACAGGAAGCTACACGTGTTTTTACTGTGGATGTCAACAGAAGCAACAATGAAAAATGTAATCCTTTTATTTCTAATAAGTTAATGCACCTAATTTCATTGTATTTTACAATATGATGATGAGTAACATTAGCTATAGACACAAAATCTAACAAATCAAATCATTACTTACTGATTAAGAGAAAAAGAGAAAAGGCCACCTACCACCAGGCTCAGCTGAAACTGTCCCTTTGATGTAGTTTGCTGCAAAGACAGGCTGCTCAATGCTGCAGCCCTTCATCAGATAATAGGGGAACATGGCTGAACCCAGGCAATCCTTCGTATTACTGGATACAAACAGCAACTAAGCCGGGGAATGAGGGAAGAGACAGAGTGCGTGGGGAGAGATACAAGAGGATCTATGAGAATATAAACTCTCATGTTTCCAAACCAGACGACATCAGCAGTAATAGTGTGTAAAGAATGTTATGAAATTTTGAGTGTACCCTGTACGGTGTGAGGTAAACCGTGCCCTTCTTGGTCCCCTTCAGCAGGTCTGTCTTGCAGGTGGCATCGCTGAATGACAGCTCCACGTTCTTACATTCCCTTAAAATACTGGGTAAAGGAGCAGGTGAAAATAAGGTAATCTGCTAAAGCTAATATCTAGATTGACTTACACAATTGTGGGAACATTACAGAATATTATGTTTGCAACTAAAATTATTGCATTTCACACACTGTAGCTAACCCGGATTGCATAACGTTACATGTGATTACATTTTTGTTTTAACAAGATGTCAACATCCTAACGAAAACTACCGCTACTTCCTGTTTTGGTATTCGGCTAACGTTAGCCATCTTGCGTAAAACAAATTTCAAGATATGAGGAGGGTCTTAAGTCGGTCATTGACAAAATTATACAACGCCAGTGTTTAAAACAGTAAACGACATTTCAAATGACTCTAGATTACGTTCAAAGCTAACGCAAATTTTAACAGTAGAACAGATGGGTTCGCTATGCTAATGTTAACCAGGCCAGCTAGCGAGAGGCTAGCGGTTGGATAGCAATTGTGTTGACTACGCACTGGAAAGTAGAAGGTAAACAAGCCAAAAAGAGAGGCGACAGACGGCTAGTTAATAAAATTAAACACAGAGACGAAAGATAAAACACATACCTTTCTCCATTGTTGATCAAAACGCCGCCGTTCTGCGAATGATTCCGATTCAAAGCCATGTTTGGATGCCGTATCCTGCTTCTCCTGCTGTCTGCGCTACAAACTGACCGTCAGCCCTAAGGGGGTGCCCCAGAAACGTCACAGGCTTTACGTCACGACCGCGTCTGACAACTCGTGATTTACCGTGGGACAGTCAACATCATTAACATACAGAGCGCAGTGTCCTGCTGAAACCTGCACATTTAGGTCATTGTTTGACATCGGATAGGGTGTAAATAGTCAACAGGATTAGTCCAATAAAAGTTCTGACCTCAGCATATGTGTCCAATCTTTTCTTTTATGACTTAAATTGTATTACTTTTCCTCATTGCAAAAACACAACAGTCTCTAACCAGCATTAAACAGAGGAGAAAAGAAAGAAAATAAACAAATGTATCAACTCCACACAAACAGACAAAAAAAAGAAGGAAAAATAAAAATAATGGTAACTAAAAAATTCCTCGAAAAATTTTGAAAGAGAGAGAGGGAGAGAGAGAGAGAGAGAGAGATGTTTCCAATGTTAATGTTAATATTTGTGTGTGAATTTAGTACACACACAGCAGTGGTGAGAAAGCAGATGTAAGTACATAAACTCTGCCTGAATTACACCTCATCCTAGAGAAACTCCCTGGTGGGAAGCACCTGTTAGGAGAGAATACAATAGGTGGCTGTTGGACAGATCAATCAGTTAGACATGCAGTGCATTTAGAAAGTTCTCACTTTTTTACATTGTATAATCGTTTCTATCTTTGCAAAGGACGTTAGTTTCATTCATGTCGTAGAGACTCATCCTGACACTGACCTCAGTCACTGCAGGTGATAGCTGAGTCATTCATTATGAAACAGGTGCCATTTGAAAGACAAAGGCAATGTCGTGCACGCAGGGATGTTGATCCTGAGAGGAGGCAAAAGTAGCTAGAGAGTGAGCGTCAGAGATGGAGACGGGGTGTAGAGCAAGGGAAAAAGAAGATCAGTGATCTAAGCGAGCGAGGGAAACGTCAACTGCGTAAAAGTGGAGGAAGCACAATAAAATGAGGAAAGGGCAGAGGCTAGGAAGCACAGTCTGCACACCCCTCCTCAGAGTCCAGATTCTGCCCAACAGCCAGTGCTGAAGTCAGGATTTACAGGGTCAGGGTAGTATGCAAGTCAGGACTGAAAATAAATGAACAAGAGTACAGAATAAGAAGCAGGCCTATCATTAATGGGTAACTGTTTTACATATGCTGTACATAACTGACATGCCAAGTTACCAAGTTACTATTTCTGTTTTGTTTTGTTTCAGACAACATGAAGAAGGAAAGTGATTTCCAGGTAGAACAGAGACACATCAGACAAATAAAACTGAAAAACTTAAGAAATTGCTAGAGAAGAGAAAAAAAAACACCCTGACAAATGCAGAAAGAGATATAAACGCATAAATAAGAGTAAATCACCACGTGCAAAAGTAACTGAATTAACTAAGACAGTCCCCCAGCAATATGGGAACACATGAAGCCAGTGCTGGATTATCTACAAGCCACATATCCACAAGTGTGTCCTCTCCTACACTTTCTGAGTGATGGACTGAGTATTCAATATAAGCAGAAAGGGAATTTCTTCCTTTTCAGCACAGAGCTTGCAAGACGAGGTTTTTAGAGGTGGCACAAGGAATTGTTTTTTTAAGCTAGCCATGGCCATGGAGTCTCTGATGGTGTTGGGGGGGGGGGGCAGTGGACAAGCTGTTGACCAATGGCTGTGACATACCGGACGCCCATGAGCTGTATAAGGCCCTCATCAAAACATCTACAGCTGTTACATTGTTTTATCTAGCAGGCGAAGCAGTGAAGCAGACAATGGGAAGGATGCCGGACCAGATTCCTCCAGTGCCAGTTATAATGAAAACACACCAAGTGGCCACATTCACTCCAGGAAAGACCCTTTACCGTGAAATCAGTTGCATGTGCATGTGTTGCATGAGCCGGGATGTCAGTGTTTCACCACACAGCACTTCACGTTTAACAAGACAGCCCAGAAGGTGCAGCCAGAAGCAAGTTTGGGAAAGTGGTGATCTCCTTGGGAATCTCTCCTTGAACCCCGTATGTTTTGGACTCTTAAAAATGTTTTTTTTGCTGTATTTCTACGTTCCTCACATTTACTGAGTCTTTTTGCTGCATTGCTTGTTATAAATGTGGTTTCAATAAAGAAAACAGAAGTCAGTTTATTACACTAACATACGTAAAATTACTTTCGGCTGCAAATTGTTTTAATAACCCAATAATGTTTAGTGCAAATCCCTCTCGCATTATGAAGTGGCTTCTTGGCAAATACTAAACTTACCACCACGTGGTCGTTTAATTCAGCCAACCTGCCAAGTTACAGGAAATAGTCACAATCTCCCCTTCCTAAATTATAGCGTTGAGCCAGAAGTGTTTTTGCAGAACATTATGTCACAGCAAAGTTGACCTTTCAGATATTAACTAATTACTTAATTTAATCCTGTAAGACATTTTAAATTGTCATATTTAGCACATGAATTTGTCTCAATTGTTTTTCAGTGATCCTATATGTAAACTCTGCTTGCATTACATGTGGTTAATTTAAATCAAACTTTACATGAAGCTTTGCATTTTTAAATTTGGGATATTTTTAAGTAAAATGTGTTAGTTACTAGGTCAAGTCCCCCGGATGTGTAAATGTACCAAATATGGAAAGCAGTCACAATCCACTTACCTGTCTCACACACACACAGGATGTTGCACGACTCAATTGGCATCCTGCTGCCATCATATTCATATATAGCTCAAATTACAACATTTGTTATCATTTATACATATTTCACCTGAGTGAGTAAATATGCTTTACCAGAAAATAAATTCCTGGCTTTCACACTCTTATCGTTGCATGTGAGGTCAAGTTAGGAGCCAATTGTGGCCTTGAGTAAATATCAAATGAAAATCAACTGAATAAACAAAGTCAAAGTGTAAAAAAACACTTTTATTGTTGCCAGAGTCAATGATTTAAGACCAGTCAGAAGTTGCACCACCCCAGTCAGATGCCTGGGCAGTAGGGGCAGTGGACCAGTCCTCGGTGGCAGGCTGAGTACTCCAGTCCTCTGTAGGGGAAAAACATTTGGAATTGAGTACACAAACACTTACACCTTCAGATATTTTATATACACTCATCAGAATATAACTTACCTGTTTTGACAGGTGCAGCTGCAGCTAGAAAAAGAGAAGGTAAAGTTTTAACAGTAGTTCAACATCAGTACAAAGGCAAAACAAATGCAGTTATACAAAGTTTAGGTAGTAATACAGTTGATCAGAAGAAAACTTGGGATCTTACCTGCAGGGAACTGCTGGATGGGCACAGATGGCACAGCAACACCCTCAGACCAGTCAGCTACCTCAGGCTGAGCAAACTCAGCTGCAGGGGCGCTCCATTCACCCTGGAACTCCTCCTTTCCAACAGCCTTCTCAGCTGCAGCCTGCTCCTCCTTCTCAATCTGTAGTGAAAACACGTGTATTACAGTGTGCAGCCCGACTCATGTAACCAATATACAAGGCAACATCAAGCCACTGTACATTTGACAGGGTGCCCTGCATTTGTCTTACCTCTTCAGGGTCCCTGTAGAAGTACAGATCGGGCATGACCTCCCATGGGTGCTCCCTGGAGATGGTTCCCCTCATCCTGAGAACCTCCCTGGCCAACATCCACCACATCAGACCGACAGAGTGGTGACCCTGCAACACAGTTACAGATTAGTCATCGATAACCACCGAGTAAAACCCTCACCAGCTGTCATTATAAGATACACAATTTATTTCATATCCACAGACGGTATAAATAAGTTTTTTTTAAGTTAGACTTCTGTAGCAAGACCTCTACCTGCTTCCCCCTGTGTGGTTCAGAAAGAAGGTTAGAGGCCATGCATACTTTTTAGCACACATCCTACACCCCGCACTGCACAGACAGGACAGCGCCGGGCTCTAACGGTGTGCAGAATGCAAGGATTCACAAAAAAAAAGCACAATTAGTGAATATGTTTTGTTTAGTTGGTCTCACCTTGTTGTTACAGGGGATGGCAATGTCCACATATCTCAGTGGAGAATCAGTGTTGCACAGGGCAATGGTGGGGATGTTGACGTAGGAAGCCTCAGTCAGTGGCTGATGGTCAGCACGGGGGTCTGTCACAATCAGGAGGCGGGGCTCCCTGAAAGCTGCCTGGATCTGATTGGTGAATGTACCAGGGGTGAAACGACCATGGAAGGTGGTGGCACCGGTGGCAGAGGCAAACTTCAGCACTGCTCTCTAAAAAGGGCAGAGAAAACAAGTTATACTCGATTTCAGGTAAAGGTGATTATTTTCCTTTAACAATGTCAACTGTGGCTCAGGTCACTATCAAACCCCAGTCATGGGACAGCCGTCCTCATGGTGTTAGCGAAAACCCGGCCTGATTTCTCTCGCACACTTCCGACACCTGAACACCGACATCGGTGCCCGGCTTTAATGGTGTGCATATTATAGTTAATGCACTTGCGTCCCACTGCACAAGCAGCAGTCACTACAATGTGACAGGACTTATTTACATAGTGTTTCACTTTACCTGTCCAGTGTTCCTGGAGGAGATAACACACACATCAGCTGGGTTCTCAATGGCAACAATGGCCCTGGCTGCCAGCAGCAGCTTCTCCCAGGTCTTCTTCAGGTTAATGATGTACACACCTAGAGATTTAGGATGAGGCCCACAGCTCAGAAATAAGATTCTTACTTCACGATTATTCTTTATTTTAACCTGAGTGAGTAAAACCACAGTGGAGAGACTCACCGTCACTTTTTCTCTTGTAGACGTACTGCTCCACCTGGAAGTCCAAATTGGTGCCTCCCAGGTGAGTTCCTGCGGCCAGGAACTTCAGCACATCCTCCTCCTTCATTTGAAGGACATCCAGACCTCCGGACATCGTGACCGCTTTCCCTGCGTTACGAGTTAGATGGGAGAGCTGGGGAAAGGATGAAAAGCATTGGTCATTATCACAGGTTTGTTTCGTAGTTAGCTGACAGTGTGCAATCAGTTGTTTCGTAGTTAGCTCACAGTGTTCAATCAGTTGTGACTTAAAACTAAAAGCAGTTAACTATGCATCAAACTACCTGGATGTCGCAAATATATTTTTTTAAGTGTCCGTATATTCAGGACACATTGCTAACAACAAAACCTGAAGTTGTTGAGGCTTCAGCGTCTTGCTAAAGGGCACTCCAGCATGCTAAAAGGCATTAACTAATGGCATCCGGGTTGTGGACGGCGTTTAAAAGAGTAAAAATCACACTGCACACTAAATGTCCACCCACTTCATCGTATTCTTACACTTATAAAACCAAATTTGTAATTGTATTTCGTTTGCCAAAGCTACGACTGCTAAGTCCGATCAGTATTCGCCGTTGGTCGCGAGAGGGAACAGCGAGATGAGCGCGTGTCAGCAGCTAGCAAGTTAGCTATAGACGTTAGCAGTGTCTATTCTGTGATAATTACAGACGGTAAAGACACAGAAGGCTGGATTTATCGTGCCATCCTGTGTGCTTATAGAGTATTTTATCATTACTTCGTGTCCTTGGCAGAATTTTAAGGGTTTATTAGCAAAATATAACCGGTTAAAACTCACCACGAAACAACGCCGTATGGAAATCTGACCACACGGTGAAAAGAGGGCGCTGGGAGGAAATGACGTAGTTTTTATACCAAATTTCCAAGCGCGTGATTGGTTGGTTGACGCGACTCGGAGTTAGTGTAGTTTTTTGATGTGGCCACTAGGTGGGGATATATGCTATGCGCTGTAATGGCAGGAGCAGTGGTCAGATCACGGGTCGGATGGGTATCCCATATTAAGACAATGGAGATGGAAAGACCATATTAAGACAATGCTGAGACGCTGACTTCTCAGTCAAAGACTGACCTGTGTTGAAACCGCCCTGTATTTGCTAGAGATAAAGAGTTCCAGGCAAAATTATCACAATATGTACACAATGACACAACAAGTTGAGAAATTATTTCAAAGAAACTTGTCTTATGCACAAAAAGTTATGTATGATACTGTAATCCTGTAAGGACACTATTGGCCTTAAAAACGTCTGATTGTGGCAGGAGACTGGACAGACACAAGGAGATAAGTAGGTCAATTGGTAGTGATGTGTTGATTCAAAACTCGGGCTTGGATTAAAGTCAAGGACATTAGAAGCGATGGATCTTACAAATATGGCTATAAAGAAGGAGTGGGGCGACGGGTCACATGAGGGAATGACATGATTTGGGGTTGTTTTCTGGGACAAGAGAAGGGTAAAGAACAAAATACTCAGTAAATAAAAAAAACAGGATTTTCAACAGACTCAAAGTCTGTTGGTTTGGTCAGTCACCATAAATACTTTACAATTCATGTATTATTTCCTCACTCAGAGACACGGGCAATCTGTGTTTTTGTATTCTGCCATTCAGACTCACAAACTGTGTCAAATCTCATCTTAAATGACAGATTCCCCAGTCAACAGTGTAAAAAGCCTTTGGGTGTGATGCAGTGGTACTGCTTGTTTTAACATGACACAGACAGGAGACCTACAGTCATATGAGGTTAAAAAGACACATTCTTGATCCAGAGCTTCATAATATGTACAGTTAAACCACTAATGAGATCTGTGTCATGTGTCATGTGTCATGAAGTTTATATATAAAGAGACTTATACTCTGTGTATCTAATCAAATAAAAATGGAAAGGAGCAAGTCTTTATTTAAGTTTATTAAGTAAACATATTTTTCTCCAAGTAACTTTCTTTGATAAATAATTAACCTGCCTGTCACCAGGAATAGTTTCCTTTCTTAGCCTGACAGTCCTGCACTCCTTGTCCTTATTTCCTATTTGATGTTATGTCACCACCCCCCACCCCTCCATGCTGCTTATCTGACCTGCAGGACTGTACTGAGTGTTTGGCCTTTATGTGCGTGCAGTCTGCTGCAATATGCTGAGCAATATATCTTTCTTATCTCTTGGAAGTGCTTCTGATAGTTTTACACCACGGCTGGAGCAGTAAGCCACCCCACTGGCAGAGTCGACTATGGGTTTTTTCATCCTCTTGCCATATCTGCATGAGAACATTTCAGAGGTCAGTCAGGTATAAGGCTCGAATGTGAAGCTGTCAGCTTTCTGTTGAATCATTTACGCTGAAAGAAATGGGTGCACACGAGAATAACATGAAGATATTCTATGTATTGTACAGTGTTTAATTTTATTAAACATCCTTCAAAAGGTAGAATACTTTTACAGTGGTAAATACATTTCCATTAACACACACTTTGAAAAATATCAAAAATCATTTCATTTTAAGGCAGATGAATGTACTGAGTAAATATTACAAGCACATATCATTTCATTTGGCAAAAAATACAAAAAATATCAGAATATAAATAACACTGTGTTATTGTAAAGGCATTTAAGAGCCAGTCCAGATTTTAAACTGTGCCATGAGAAGTCCGAGCTGATCACTGCAGTCACATGGATATGTTCCATGTGATTTCACAGACAAAGGAAGTCCCACCACATTTCTAAAACAAGGAAAGTCTCAGTCCAAATACTCATTAGGATCAAAACTTCTGTACAACTTGTAGTGCAATATAGAACATCACAGCACATCAACATTATTCTCAAAAATATTCGTACGTATCAAAGGCAGGATTCTTGAACTTCAGCCAGAATCCAGAAAAAACATTTGACATATGCAAACTCTCCACATCTCCTTTGTAATGTGCTCGTCACTCACTCTCACTCTCTTTGCTCCCCAGTCCACTGAAGCTGTTCCTTCATCTTCACACATTACAGTCTTCTCTCAGTGACTTGACTTTAATCTCTTCTTTTTCTTTCTTTCTGTCTTTCTTTCACAAAGCCTCCCATCAACATTCCCCTTCAGGACTTGAGCCCGATGTGGGCCATCATCTGCTCATACACTGTCCACGCCATGGCGGCCATCATGGTCCTCCTTAGTGATCGTGGAACGGCCCCTCTGAAGAAGCCCCGGACGCCGTGTTCCTGAGAGAGACGACAAGGACAGGGCTCAGGAATGTGCAGCTTAAAAACGTAGCGAGGCTAATGCTGACCCTGAAAATAATGCAGAGCGAGATAATAAAAGCATCAAACATGAAACTCAGTAAAAGAGGAGTGAGATATTTACCATATAGATGTATCTGATGGCCTCTGCCGTCCTCAGCTGTGGATTCACTTGGACGTGTGTTTTGACCACATCAGCAGGCTGAGTGACCATAGAGGCCAACACACCCGCCAGGAGCCCACAGCTGAAGTTCGCCAGGGGCGCCGAAGGAGACGTGCTGATTTCTTGAAGGAAGACGGACAGAAGGTTTTTTTTTTTAAATTCAAATCCAAGTTAAAAACAATTACCTGTTTGACTTGTGGTAGAATTTTAAATGTAAACGTTTGTCAAGCACCAAGTCATTATGTATCTCCCTCTCTCTCTCCCTGTATTTACCTTTTGGCAGTGAGGCCTTGGTCTGGCTGTAGAACATGACGTAGATGCCAGAGAAGGGAACGTCTCTGAGGAGAGTGGCCATCAGGCCGGAGAACAGAGCAGCGGGACCCTCAGTCCGACACACGCTGCGCAGAGCCCCGACCACGCTCCTGTAACTGTACCTGCCACACTGAAACACAACCATACAGACAATCAGCTTAGTCTAATACACATACAACATGCTGGGCCAAATAAAGACGAAAAAATGTCTGCCTGTACTTACTTCAAAGCGTGTCTTGATGACAGTGACCGGCAGCATGAACACCCCCGCCACCGACCGGGCCCCGCCTCCCAGCACCACGGCCTCCAAGGCCCCGGGGCTGCCGTCCTGGAAGAAGTGCTGCTTCAGAGAGTAGTAGGTGCTGAAGTAGATCCCCACACCTGGGATGGTCCGAACAAAGGACTAGAAGAGCAGATGAACGGGAGAGGGAAAATGTGAAACTGGTGAATTTGTGAACATTTTTTCATGCATACGTAAAACTTCCGGTAAGACAGGAGGACGGTTGTGTGTAGTAGAAGGGAGGAGAATGGCGTTCTTACCGGTGAAACTCCTTTCCACAGTCCCAGCAGCCTCTCTGTCCGCACCACGCTCAGGAGCACCGTCACCATCCCCACTCTGCCTGAACTGAGAGAGGAACATGCAGATCAGCTGACAGTGATCAATGGTAAATGACGAGCACTGCTTTCATGTGGGAGCCATGTGCTGCGCGTGTGATGCAAAGCTGAGCTGTGGCAAAACTTTCTGTTGTGTTCATCCAGTCAATAAAGCCGTTTTTTGCAGGTCACAAAGCAAGTGATGCAAGCTAGCGATACTGATAACTGTGTTGAAGTGTTCAGTGTACACGGACTCACCCGGGCTGCATGCCGCTCTGCAGCGTCTGCAGACGAGTCTTGACCAGGTCGAGGGGCTGGAAAAGCAGCGTGGAGCAGGTCCCACTGAGGGAGCCACACATGAAGGCTTTGATAGCTGGGTGAGCCTGGGTGGGTGGGGTAGGGGTGGGGGGGTGTTGCAGAAAGACAATGAGAAAAAAGTAGGTTAAAATGTTTATCAGCATGTCAGAGTGATGTCAGGACGCCTTGACCTCAAGTTAGTTATAAAAGGTGCAACATTAAGGGAGGAAAAAACAACCTCACCATCAACGACTAATATCACTAATATAAACAAAACAGGACGTAATCAATTCCTTTTCTCTTTTAAATTGTATTACTTCATGATCCTTTTACAGCTTTGTGTGAGACACAGTTACAAGCAAGAATAATGATTCTGATATGTCAAAATACATAATATGGAAACAGTGAAGTAAATTAAATTATAGGCATCCAACAAGAAAATTAAATTAAATTAAATTAAATTAAATACTAAAACATAAATAAGTAAATGTCTGATACATAAAATATCAAACAGAGAGACACAATCAATCCAAATAACTACAAAAACCCTTTTCAAAATAGGGTGTACAAGAAAAAGAGGACATTTGGGAAAATACAGACATTATGCAAATGATGGGCATACAGGTGTTATGTACCGTATCCATCTTTCAACCTAATTTATAAAGTAATTCTTTCCATCCTAAAGATTTCATAAGTCAATTCCACTGTAAAACTCACCAGTGACAGCTCCATAGTTCCTCAGGATGATGCTTTCCTCCACTTGTCAGTCTCTGAAATGTTGCAAATGTAAATTACCCCTAAAAAAAAAAAGAAAAAGAAATGAGAAGTCACACACTGGCCTCTCAGTCGTCCAATTAACAGCACCTATGCAGCATCTGGAGGAGGACTGTGGAGGATGTGCACAGTCCTGCAGTCTGTTTCAGTCTGCACATGGTAGCGCACACACACACACACACACACACACACACACACACACACACACACACACACACACCAGGATAAGTATACAGATCACCTGAAGGACACTGTGCTCCCTATTTGCGACCACCCGACAAAACACGCAGCTATTCATTAACTAACCAAAGATCATCCTGCTACGTATTAGGATGGATGTTTGTCGTCCTGTGGCATGTTTTTCACGTGAGCCTGAGTGTGAACACATGATGAACTAATCCAGTGTGTGTCTGTGTGCGTGTGTGAGTGTGTGTGTGTGTGTGTGTGTGTGTGTGTGTGCAAAAGCATGATGCACCAGAGTCAAGATGGATTTAACACAGGGGAGTTTTGTAAAAAATGTTTTTGGTTTGTTGTCTCCTAATAAATGTTTCTGGGTTTGAATCCCACATCTGTAGTTTTGGTTGCAGTGTAATATTACACAGTGACGACACATGTATTCACCTTCAACAAGAGAAGTACAGAAAAGGTGTAAGAAGGTGAGGACACCTGCATTACCTTAAACAGCCTAATACATAAATATAATAATATGATTCTACAATTTAAACACAACAAAGATAAAGTGTGTCATATTATCTTGACATGCTCTTATCGGGCTACTTAGATGTCACACCAGCATTATCAGTTTATATCAAAATGTATAAGTGTGTGTGTGTGTGTGTGTGTGTGTGTGTCTTCCTTTGTAGCTTACCCCCTACAGCCTCCTTAAAGTTGCCTCCTGCAGTATAGGTAGACTGTTGCAGAGATTGATATCACAAGTCGGAAGCCATTACATGAACACAAAAAGCGTAGGTCGCGGTGAAAGGAAACACAGAGATGCTTAACTTCGTCTTCGTCGTTCGTTCGTTCGTTCGTTTGACCGCAGTGAGGTTTTCTCTCCGTCGAGGGAGGGAAAAATAAACCAGGTTAAATGTCTGCGTCAATCGTTCAGACCGTCATAACCATCGCACAGACGGACCTGAGCCTCACCGGTGACCAGTAAGTCTGTACTGCGCCATAAACACTGATAACCGTGATTTTCACTGACTGATAACTTACACTTAAACCGGCCGGTTCCTGTTTGACGTCGAGGCGTGTCCAGTAACTGCATTGAAGCCCCGCCCACCAAGGAGACGCTTGTTTTCGATTGGTTACGCAGCGTTCGGACCGTGACGTAAATATGAGAAGGGCACTACTTAACTGAGTACGTGACAAGCGACGTACTGCAATTCATTTTATTATTATTATTTATTACACATACATATTATTTATTATACATTATTTATTCTACGTTTCTGCTTTAAATTTGATTAATCGTTTCTATTTGATTGATACATTTTTTAAAATATATTTTTTCCTGTATACTCAGTTTAGGCAAAATAAAATTAAATAGAACACAAAACCAAACTACTTCCATGAATTGAAAGTATAGTCAGTGTGACCTTTGTATTTATTTATTTTTTTTAACAATTTTTCCGTGAAAAACGTAAATATGCCTAACACCTTAACACTTAAAGGTGCATTATAGGTCTCCACCAAAGATCATTTCAAAATGTACCATATTCATTGGTGAAGAAAAGTAAAAAAGTACCAAAAATGACTCTTTTCCCACATTCAACATTTTACTGAAGTAATAGTAAAGAAGTACAAGAAAAAAAAGTAAAAAACAAAAACAAGTAAAAGTGCTCATACATCATTTTTATCATATATAGTTGTAATACTATTATTAATATACAAGCAGCATTTCAATGTTGTAGCTGGTCAAAATGGAGATAACTATTCACGCACTGCTGTATAATTCATTTATAGGATTACATCACATTTTTAAAGATCATATATTTTGAATGTAAAACATAGACATTACTAGTATTTAAATTACAAATATAGGGGTCAAATAGTAGCTGTACTTAAAACAGTACTTTTGTACTCGGTTATTTTCTACCACTGACTGTATTAAAGAAAACCAGGAGCATTCTCACAACAATCACAACTGTGGTTCTAGTAACAGGGGGAAAAAAACAAAACAGCTTTTGTTCTTTTATATGTTGTTTCTATTCATGTCATAAAAGTGTTCACTTCAAAGCTGCACTAGAACAGAAACATGACAGAAAACAAAATAATACCAAAGAGAGTTCTCACCCAGACTTTTACATCCCTGTTTACTATAATTTACTCTATGGCGAAACCGGTTCTGACCTGATTGCGGTCTGCTAGTCCCTTATGGAAAACCCTGACTGCCCTCTGCTGGTGACAATGCAGCATAAACAACAAGCTGGACCCCTGCAAATAAACATCAGTATGGAATAAAGACACACACGATCCACATGTAGCAGTTTAGAAAGCCTCTTTAATTGCAATAATACCAACATTTCACAAAATGAGAATCAGAGGTGCAGACAGACGAACATTACAAAAGAATTGAGGAGATGCAGTTTTTTTTTTTTGTTTTTTTTTCCATGATTTTGTTTGGATTTCCTTTGTTTTTAAGTGCGAAAGTTGTGATCCTTTTAATTGTGAACCGTTACTCTTTAAGTAACACATTCCTCTCACTTCCCAGCAGTGTGAGCCAAAAGCCGCCTCTGAGCACAGCCTGTGAGGGGTTTGTATGTCAATAGAACTTCATCTGATACGTCTACTCAATACCTGGCCACATATCACCTCCCCATGTCTATATGAAGCCCTATAGGCCGGTCAGAGTATAGTGTACACAGGTTAGACTAACAACAAAGTACGCTCCCTACCTCCTGAATCTGCCTTTGGTTTGTAACAACCTCAGCTACTCCTCCCTCAACAAGCTGTGCCCTGAGAATACAGTGTGTGCTGTAAGTATTAAACTACCCCCACCAACCCCATTTAAACTTTACCCTGAACATTAACAAAAACACTGATATTGATAAAAATAAAAATCAATGCATGTCCAGAAAAAAAGCCAACAACCCTGCCCAGAAGAATTCAGCTGCATTTAAGGCCTTAGTGTGTGTTGGCAGTCTGTGCGTCTGCTAAATGAGCAGGTACACACAGTCTCTCCAAAACTTCTGTCAGCGTTTCCATTAAACACACAAATGCAGTGGTTTATGATGTCTAGGCTAAAGTGTTTTTTTTCCTTGTCAGTGCAAAATTAAGATATTTCAGCACAGTCACAATCAAATGCCTTCAGTATGCGTCAATGGGTTTCCAATTGTTACTTCAAATCTGCCTCAAATTTTACTTTCCACATGAAATGTGGGCATCAAATTATTAAGCCCAAAAGCGTAGTCACAAGTGCTAACTGCAGCTAAACTGATAGGATACATTTCAGCATAATAAACCTTCAATATAAACTGAGGCGAGAGCGTGAGCGGAATAAACATGAAGCACTTCCATTCTTAACCATTATAAAAAACTTCTGCATAAAATACAATTCTATAGATTGAGATATTACTTTGGTCCCCTTCCAGTAATCGGTCTTCATTTATGTATACTTCTTTCTTTGTTTTCTCTTTCTTCAATTAGAAAAATAGATCCTAAATCAGGACTATCATAGCTGGAATGTTTCCTTATAAAAATATCATTTTCTTTTTTTTATTTTTCCCAGAGAACGAAAAATGAAGCAAAAGAAAAATTTGGCCCAAAAAATAACGTGTGTGTTTGTCAGCATGGTGATTGTCCCAGTTTACTGGCTTCTGTATGTGTGAAAGTGTGTTAAGAATGCATAGATTGTCAATCTTAAAGAGATCAGACTGTCACGGCCTTGTGTTTGTTTGGTGTCCCTCTCTGTTCAGCAGGTACAGTAATGTGTGCTCATGTGTATTTGGGTCTGTCTATTTATGATGCAGTTCTAAGGAGCCAAGTGGCACGGTGGCTGTTCACTCAGGCTTGGGCTCGGGGGTCTCGCTCTTGGGCTCGCTCTCCTCGTCGCTCTCGATGCCGGCGCGGGGAACGGTGCGGCGCACGGTGAATGGGAGGTCACCGCGCCTAGAACAAGAGAAGAAGAAACACAGTGAGCGAGCAGACAATGTCTCGAGGTAAAGTCACGGCACCATCTTGCAAACTGCTCTCCCGTACTCCCAACAGATGTGCGCAGGACTGCTTCAGCTATCTGTGCGGTAAACTGGAACAACATAAAAGCAGCTAGGTCTCTAGAGTCACTCCGCCCACCTGAGCTTGTTCTTGAGGGTGGTGACTTCACGGTTCATGGCGTCTGCCGACTCTGTGGCATCCTCCAGCTCTCTCTGCAGTTTCCTTCGGTTGGCGTTGGCTCTCTGAGCCTCTTCCTCAGCCTCCTCCAGCTGACGCTTCAGCTGCTTCATGCGAGAGTTCAACTTGTCCACCTGAGAATTTGACAGATTCATTAAAATGATTGGTTTCAACGATGCAAAGCTGATCTTCATCTTACATCTGATACAATACTGGAGCTGTTTACTGTTTTATATTTCAGTTTTTAGGCTTCTGGAAAGTGCTGATGTAGAGCAGCATAAACATTACACGGATAATACTCAGAAAAGCCAGAATACTGAGACAGAAATAGCCACTGCAGAGCTCCTGGAAAACCTCTGACCTGGTCCTTGTACTGCTCCGTGTTGCGTCTCTCGTCATCCACCTGCAGGATGACTTCCTTCAGTTTCTTCTCCGTGCGTCTCACAAGTTTGGTGGCACCCTGCCTCTCCCTGAGGCAAGATTACAACACTGATCAGGCTAACGACATAAAGACTGTACAACATATTGTAGTACTTCTTCCACCACTGGTCTACAAGTGAAAGTCCTTCATTGAATATGCAACATAAGTAACTTGGACTGCAGGTCTAGTATTATTACTGATGCATTACATGTAAGTAGCATTTTACTGTTGCTGGAGCTAATTTAAACTGTTTATATATTGTGTGTATTATATTTTATGATGAACGTGAAATAAAAGTATTAAGTGGAAAAAAATGGAAATACTCAAGTAAAAGTACCTAAAACCTGTAATCAAGTACAGCACTTTGAGTAAATGTATTTAAGTTCCGCCACTGAGACTTTTCCAAGCTTTGATTAAACATCACCTCTTTTACTTATTTAAGTTTATGTAATGTAAAGTAAATGTGCAGCTGTTAGTCAGTTCTCTCTCATTTCCATGGCTGAAGCTTTCACCTGGTCTCCATGTCCAGCTGTTCCTCCAGCTGAGAGATCTTTGCCTCCAGGGCGGCCATGTTGGCCTTGTACTTGGACTTGACCGTCCCCTCCAGCTCCTGCAGCTTCAGCTTCAGCTCCTTGTTCTGACGCTCCAGCTGAGAACGAGCCCCTTCCACGCGCTGCGAGGCGCTGCGCTCTGCCGTCAGCTCCACGTTCATCTGGTCGGTCTAGACACGTGGGACAGACTCGTCAGTTTGGGCCGAACACACATTTTCGTACCACAAATAACAAGGAATCAGTGTTTCTCTTGGATTAACACCGCTGGGTGCTGATGGATGTCATATAAGAAGCTGCAGTGACAAAATGTATAACGTGAGCCTGCAAACCTGCAGCATTGCTTTCTTCAGCCTGTCGTTGGTCAGCTCAGTGTTGCACTGCTCCTCCTCCAGCTCTTCCTCCAGCTGAGCAATACGAGCCTCCAGCCGTCTCCTCTCCTCTGCAGCCTGAGCACTGAGAGAGAAATAGGTAGGTAGATAGAAGAGAGGAGAGAGGAAAGACACGTAGGTGAATAATACGTTATGGACACGACCGACAGTTTGGTCATTTTTACTGATAATTGAAGGACATCTTACTTCTTGGTGGCCTGGTTATTAATCTCATCCTGCAGCTCATCTCTCTCCTGCTGGGCCTGTCTCTTCACTCGCTCTGCAGCTGCCAACTCCTGCACAGAATCAGCAAAGAGGGGTTCATTAAAGTGTGACAGCCCAGTTCTTAAAGAGGACGTTTGCTTGGGGAGGGGGCGATAGAAAAGAAGGTTAGAGAGGCGTGTGCGTGCCGACCTCCTGCATCTGGATCATGTCGGCTTCCATGCCCTTCAGCTTCTTCTCGGTCTCCTTGCTCTGGGCGAGGATCTCCTCTCTGGACATGCGAGTGTCCTCCAGCTCCCGCACAAGATCCTTCAACTGGGCCTGAGG